ACAAACTGTTTTCAAAATTTGCTTTACTAATATCTATTGTGCACTTCATACTCTGCAAATATTGTTCGAAACTTTTTTTCGTAAGGTGGCTGCAAGTGGGAGAAAAATCGTGAGTTACAGGTAACACCCTGTAGAGTGCATGGAAATGCATATTATCCTATAATGATAAAATTATCGAAAGGATAAAATTTGTAGAAAGTTTATTTTAGCTGACAAGGTTTTAAAGAGATTCTCAAATGACCTTGAATATAAATGTGCAATCCTCATGTACATACGTGCTTAAGGACATAAGGATTGTGCACATTCATGCATGAGGACATTAGCACTGTGCACATACGTGCATAAAGACATAAGGAATGGGCACACACGTGCATAACTTTTTATGGTCGAACTAGTATAGTTATTCTTTAGTACAGATACTTATTAGACTCCAGTTATTATCCTTTATTATAGAGTATGAACTTGTAAGAGTTCACATGCAGCAGACATATGTTTAAGGCCATGAAGGCCATTACTAATAAACCTTTTGTGTTTGTAGCAATTTAAACCTTCTTTGTAATAATTATTCAAACTTGAAATTTTCTAATTGTCTAATTCTTCATATTTTCAAACTTCAACCACGAATTAAATACACAGACACAAGATTTCTACTGTAAACTATACTTCATGTATGAAGTTTCAAATGCACGCAGGAACACAAGATTTCTACTATAAACTATATTTCATGTATGAAGTTTCAAATAATTATGAAGGAAATTTTTAACTAGAAAATTATTTGTACAAGAGACAATTTTAATTTCACCAGAAAAGTATATATGAAAAATATTCGACTCGTGTTTCAACAGCGTCATGGACATTATTTCGTGAGAATTTTAAGCCGCAAAAGTCTGAACGTCCCGCGATATACACATTTGAAAAGTGCCGTGACAAATGTTTCGCGAGGAAGGAGCACATAATGCTTTTTAAATTCGTTGTGTCATAGTGTTATTTAAATTGCCCGGAAGCGCGGATTTATGTGCCGCTTCGTTTTAAGGAATAAGCCTCTTCCCCGATGCTGCCCTATTTATCATACAAAGGATTCTGGCGAGTCTTAAAGCACGAAGAGAGGATCTCGTTGTTATTTTTGGTAGCCTTGAAGCGGACAACACGCAATATCTTACGTCGTCCGCCATGAATATCAAACGCGAACCGCTCTTCCGAAGAAGGCTTCATAAATAAACTATTTTCGATGATTCCGAGTCGATTGAAAATAATTAGCCGGAAAATTGCGAGAAAATTCGAACGGAAACCTTTTCCTTCGTATTTTCTTCGCGTCAAGCCCTGCATGACCCAGATAAGAAACTTGATAAAATCAAAAACATCGGCGCTGGTCTTCGATGCTTTCTCGTGCCACGTACGGAGGTGATCGTGCTTCCAGGGATTTCGAAAAGTGAATTAAAGCCGGTCGATGAAAGTCACTAGATTCTACCGTCGTGAAATTGCGATCGAGAGACCGCAGGTCAAAAATGAAACGTCAAAGCTTTTGTATTTTAAAATATTGGAAGCCTTTGAAATTGCACATATACATTTTAAAGGGTTGATGGGGAACGCTTTCGTATTGAAATGTGTAATATGACAAGTTTTATAGCTATGATCATATTGCGGTTATTGCGAGATCAAACGTGTTAATACAGTTTCATTTTTAAATAGGTTTAGATACGCAAATAAATTACAGGGAGTATTTTAAACAGTCAATAGAGAAACGCTTTCGGATCCGACTGTGTAATACGACACATTTGAGAGCAGTGATCGACAGCACAGCTATTGTTGCAGGACCGAAGGGTTAGTTTATAATTTCGTTTGTTAAATAGTTACAGAGTATGCACAAATAAAGTACAGAATATATAGATTACAAAAGATTGATTGACGATGAGAAACGCTTTGGGATCCGGCTGTGTAATATAACACATTTTAGGGTAGTCCTCAAACCACAGCTGTTGTTGCGGGATGGAATCTGTTATTCCATAATTTCGTTTGTTAAATAGTTACAGACTATACACAAATAAATTACAGAATATACAAATTATAAATGATTAATGAACGATGAGAAGCGCTTTCGGATCCGGCTATGTAATATAACACATTTTAGAGTAGACCGCAACACCACAGCTATTATTGCAGGACCGAATGTGTTAGTCTATAATTTCGTTTGTTAAATAGTTACAGAGTATGCACAAATAAATTACAGAATATATAAATTAGAAATGATGGATGGACGATGAAGAACACTTTCAGACCCGACAGTGTAATATGACACATTTTAGAGTAGTCCTCAAACCACAGCTGTTGTTGCGGAATCGAATCTGTCACTCTATAATTTCGTTTGTTAAATAGTTACAGAGTACACACAAATAAATTACAGAATATGTACAGTAGAGGCAGTTGACGATGGAACAATGGGAAACAGTTTTGAAGCCGACTATGTAATGTAACACATTTTAGAGCAGCCCTCAGCGCCACAGCTGTTGTTGCGAGATCGAACTTGTTAATCTATAATTTCGTTTGTGATAAGATTATATACATTTCTATGTAAAGAAGCTGCAGAATATGTACATTTGAAATACTTAACGATGAGAAATACTTTCGGGTTCGATTTGTGTAATATAACACATTTTAGAGCAGTCCTCAAAGACACAGCTGTCATGGCGGAATCAAACATATTAATTCATGATTTCATTTATAAAAATGACTAAGAGTGATTTCTTGTGATTTCGCAAAATCTACTTTTTTAATAAAAGAACAGGCTATAAAGTTTCTAGTTTCATAAATTTTCCTCTTTTATTATTATCATCGATTAATAAAAGGTAAAATCGAGTAAATGTTTCTGTTTTTTTTATTTTTGATTGCAAAATGTTTTTCTTGAATTCCGTGTTTATATTTTCGAGATGAATTAATGTGTATATTCAATCATGTTTCGTCTCTTGTTTATTTATTTTTCTGCTGTATTTTTAGTTGTCATCGACTGAGATAATGTGATGTTGAATTCCCATTTCGGTTTCACTTGGTCCGCTTTATTATCTTTGAATTTTGCGCTGTGTTTCGATTATTATTGCAATATTTAA